AGTTGACTCATTTTGAGGTCTGGCTCAGTTGGAGTGAAAATGAGGGTCAAAAAGACTTCAAGTTCAACTCTACGCCTTCACTTGATAAACACATGGATTTGAAAGAAAGTAACCTGCGGCTGTGTGGCACACAAGCTTTGATTCTTTTCAGAATGGCTTGTACGCTGTTTGACTCCACTCTGTCCCCAAACAACCCTTTCATAAAAGACCCTGTGTTGCAATTCTGGAGCTTAATCAAATGAAAGGGCATGAGAAATAAAAAAGAATGAACCCAGACTATCAGGATGATAAATCTTGGAATAGAAAAGTGACAATGTGCAGCCTCACTGTAGCAATGTTCAGCTCGAAACTATTTTTGTATTAGATATAATAAATGACCTTTCACTTCTAAACCTTTCGCTCAAACTACAGTATACCAGTAACATCTTAATGATATTTTAACAAAAGAAAATCTTATTTTTTGTAAGTCAACAAGAGTGAAAATCTTATAATTTCTCTTGTCAGAAATAAATATAATAACTTTGCCACAGATCAGTGGCGGTCCAGTAACACTTTTTGAGGCTGTCATATGATGGCTCACTTCTGCTCAGTTAGCGCGCCCCCCTCGCCCGGACACTGACCTTGGCAGTCTGTAGTTTGACATTAATCGGCAGCAGCTCGGAGAGGGGGGGGGGGGGGGGGGGGGGGGGGGGGGGGGGGGGGGGGGGGGGGCGCACTTTGATCTGTGCCATACCTGATGCAGCCTGTCCGTATTGATGTCTCTGCCGGTGACTCGCAGTCCTGGTTGAACATGGTGGACATCAGGCTGCTCTTCTCTAATAGATCATCTTAATGAAGTCACTGTGGTGTGACCAGTGACAGGTGGTTAATACACACATGTCATTAGGCCGGCTGCATGAGGGGGGGCCTCGGGTGGAGGTGCTCTTTGCTTGTTTGGAGATAAATCTGAGGACTAAGTGGACTGGCAGGGTGACGAGACAGAAGGGATGTTTACATTGGATCCTAACTGGGTTTCAATAAATAATAATCCTGAATTCAATATAAAAAATACTTTTCCTTTAAATCATATTGTCAAGCCCCAATTTCTTTTAAATTACGGTATTTTTAATATTTACCAGAGATTATACATTTCCTATACATTTAGTCGTGCATTTCAACAATTAGTGACTAAGGTGCAAAGAAAATAAGTATTTCTGAATAACCGATTGCTGTTTCACATTTAAAGGTGAGGTAGGTCATTTTGGAGAAACCAGCTCAAGTGCGCTCGAATTTGGAAATACACAGCCGGAACAAATCTGCCACTTCCTTCCAGAGCCCCTCCTCCAACACACACAAACGCGCACATGACCAATGAGGGCACGAGATAAGTTTGTGCACAGATGGAAGGCTGACAGGCAGGTAGGCTATCCAGTTACTTTAGCCGGGCCGGCTCACATGATTGGTCGTGCTTTTTACAGTACTACAGCTTCCACAGATGACATTTTTTTAATGGATTTTTTGTCAAAGCACTTCAGATATTCATTGCTATCGGGATGTTAAGAGCATTCCATGGAATATAACAAAAAGTGTATCTCGAGCCGGTTTCTCAAACTTACCTTACCTTACCTTACCTACTTTTAAGTCGATTTTTTAAATGATTTTTTTATGATATTAAAATCTAATAAAATTGTAAAAAAGTGGCTGAAACTTCCTTTTTTTGGACAAACTCAAGACAGAGATGTTGTAAACAGATAGTTGCACTAATGGTTGCCATGGATGCCACTGTTGCTATAATTTTCTCTATTGTGTTGTTGCAGAGAAGGTTTTACTTCTGTTTTGAATCTTATTCACAATCCCATATATATATATACAGTATATGGGATTGTGTATATATGTGTACAGTATATTATATACTATTATATTACTGTATACTATGTACTCTATTTAACCTTTCTTATTTTTCATGAAGAAAATCAGCAACTCTGTCTAAGTGTACATTAAGTTGACATGAGCCTTTGACAGCCCATCACTTTGAACCTTTGTTATATTGTGTATAGCTTCAGGTCTACTGCCACACAATGTACTCAGCTCACTCAAAATAACCACAGCATCCCTTTGACAGTCACTTAAACGGCAACTGTCAGAGAAGGGGAGTTAAAGCAGACTGCCTGCTGTTCTCCAGACAAAGAACCTGATGCGTTCAGATATCTGCAGCCAGCAAAAGAGCATCATAAAAGATGACTGATCCTTTTCCTCCCCAAGGAGTGAGTTTCCAACCACAACACACACTCCAATAGAGGTGAAGCTCCAGATGTATCTTCTTTAATTCTTCTTATGCAGAGTGACGGACTTGGCTCTGGAGTTTGGTGCAGACCAGGATCTGCGTTTGACTTGTTTCACTAAAGTAAACACTGTTGTGAGTTCCTGACTCTTGGCCCTGCTGTAAACAGGAAGCAGAGACAGTTCTGGAAAGCTGGCTGCTAACGCTCATCTTTTTAATCTCTTTGACTTGGCATGTATCTTCATAACAAGAACCCATGTTCCTCAAGTTATGTGTATTTACTTTAGGCTGTATTTTACATTCATAACCTTAATTGTAGTTAATTGGTGGGGCAGTATAGATGATATGATTAATTAACATGCTATTAAGCAAGTGTTTTGTATATTGTTAATCAGAAAGTTCTGGCGTGCATTAAAACGTGTCCTCGTGTAATCAGTTGAATCTGGGCAGCATGCACCAAACAAATGTAATTCATATTGAGTGTCAAGCCATAAAAGACATTCTGCAAATATTGCTATAAAGAAACAAAATACACTACATAACATTATTTGTTCTGATAATACAAAGTGTGCTTTCTTTTACAAGCTTTAGGACAATGATCTGTTAGAAGTGTCATTAAAAAACAATGCTTTGTATCTCTGACACTATTTATGTTCAAAGTTATCCAATTTGTTCTAACTCCCTTTGTTTGGATTAAATCTCAACAAATCCCTAAAACATTTCAAGTCCAAGCATCCCTCCACACCTTCCCTGCTTGTTTCCATGCTTCATGGTAAGAAAACTGCCATAAGAATCCACAGACCCATTCTTATGAATTCAGGGGCAAAAACATCCCTTATATGGTTACACTCAGATCCCCTTCCCTTTTTTCTTCTGGAATAGAAGAAATGCAAAGCAATTTGGAATACTAGCAAACAGACTGCATGGCTATCCAACATAAACTTTGAGATTCCCAATTCTGCGTTTCAGGCACGTTTTCCCATAGCAGAGGGGTTAGTCACTGCCATTTACTTTGTGTTGACGCAGACAAACCTCTATTTCATTTCAGTTTTTAATCTCCAAAACCTCTGCCATTTTGTACCCACATATTGTGAGTACACGTTCAAATGCTGAGTGGCAATGCAAGAACACCTCATATGATGTAAGTAATAGTATCTCTGACTCTTTTATTGTGTCCACCCCTGTGCACATGCATGTTAGAGATGGAGAGAGGTGGTGAGTGAATTTAGGAGGAGAGTGCTAAACTCTGAGTCAAAAGAAAAGGGCCTGGTGTTTTCCCCAAGGGCAGCTGATAACCCGTTTGGCAGGAAAGGCCTTGCAAATGACTGCATTCCTTGTTAACCTTGTAAGGCTATTTTTACCACTAAAGGGTCTTTTGAGCGGGCACCTTTTGTTCGCCCTCCAGCATGAAACAGGAAAGACTGGTTTTCATTGCAACCCTCTGGGAGCTTGGCTCCGATCTCCGTCTCTCGTCACGATCCAACCATCCATCCTAATGCTGATCTCTGTTTACGCAATGAATCTTCAGGGCTCCCGACACATGAACCCGGTAACTCCGCTGCACAGTTCACTGTAAAGTAATGCAAATAGTAAGCTGAGGCTGTGCACATAATTCACGATAAAGCTAAGATTACAGGAAGAAAAGTTGGACGTTTTCCCAGGGAATGTGAACAATCTGTGCCTAAATAATGAAAGCTAACTCCCCACTCGTCTGTCCAAAAGTTGTTTGCTCGGTGTATGTTTGTATATGTATTTCATTGTTTTTTCAAGGGACATTCCTCTGGTCAGAAATCCCCTCTGACTGTCCCCAAGAGGTGAAAGGTCCGCAAACAGGCCGATTTCCTGTTGCCTGACCAGAGAGTCCATGTAGTGTTTGAGCTGCAGCTCCTCAGGGATTCCTGGCAGTGAATGTGATCATGTCCTAAGAGGATTAAGAGGAGACCCTGGCTGCAACGAGCCAGAGGTCGACATCGCTGTGATGGTGGGAATGACCTCGTCTGTCACCACACATCTGTCAGTGTACTGAAGTGACCAAGCAACTGTCGTCAGGGACCTGATTTCTTTGCAGAGTGTAAACAATACATTTGATTTCTCAATACAAAAAAACAAGAGAAAGACGTTGAAGACAATCCTACAATGTTACGAGATCCCATGTGCATGACAAAACTAGAAGTGGGAAAGAATATCTCAGTCAGAATTTATTAAATGATTAATGGGAACTTCAATACACACAGCTGTGCATCTTTGTATGCAAAATAATAAAAAAGAGACGGAAACGGACACTGTAAATTGGCATGGCAAGAAAATGAGAATGAAGACACAAAGCGGGTGCAGATGAAAAAACAACTAACTATTTAAATATGCAATTAAATGAAACAGCCATATTTCAAATACACTCTGGTTAGAAAATAAAGGATATAACCTGCATTTAGACATCGTTTTTATAGTAACCTTGGGCCTCTTTTACAAAGGCAATTTTCTTTGAACACAGTAAATATCATGGTGTCACATTTATTTCACGAATGATTGCTGACAAATGTGCAAGGCCCAAAGGGCTTCGCATGCTTATTCATGGGTTGCCGGCATTAGTGAAATCAGCCAAAACTTGTTCTCTGATTTCTTCAGTCTTTTCCCTGTAAGCTGACTTCTTGTGTTGCCTGTTAAACATATTCTCTGGGACTGTACTCGAGCCACCAGAGGCTGATCAAAACTCATCTATCATCTCTTCATCTTCTCTCAGAGCCTGGATGAACTGGAGGATGATGACGCCGTGGAGAAGAACAGGAAGGAGGAGAAGGAGCTGGTTCAGGCCAACACTTTCCAGAACGAGGCCATGGCGGCTGACCCCGCCACCGGACACTTAATGGTAAGGAATTACAAGACGGGAGGTAGGAGGACAGAGCTGCGCATCTTTAATGGTATCTAGCTGAAATGTCAGCCTCAATACAGTGAAGATTTAATATAGAAGGGTCCCATAACATAGTCTTATTTTCCACCACACTCTACACAAGCTAGATATTGTACATGGTTCCTGCCAAACAGAGGCACTGTTGCTCAGAGAGTTTGTGTGACAAGCTGCAGTGATGCAAAACCCTAAGGTGTCTCTGCGTTTCATCATCACTGTGAAATCGGTTAAAAGCCAAAGAAACATATCCTTAATTCCTCTTAAAGCTACTAGGAGAGACTCACACTCCCATGTTAGGTTTTTGGTGGTGTAATTGTCTAATTCCTAAGGCTGTTGGAACATACAGAGTGTGACATAAGCTTGAGATGTGTCTAAAGCAGCTACTGTTAATGTGACTCTATAGAGAAATGGATTTTAATTGTATCAATATGAGCAGTGAGATTAATTGCCCTTAATTGATTAGTTTGAGTCATAATGGAGCACTATCTTCAGCTTCTGCAGTAGAAATATTTGCTGCTGTTTTCTATCCTTGTAAACTGAATATATTTTGGTTTTCGGGATGTTAGACAGATAATTTAAAAAAGTCACTCTGGGCTTTATAATTGTTTTAAAACCAAATGAGTAATACATTATGCAAAATACCAATTAAGAATTCTAGATAATGAAAATAACAGATTCAGAAACAAGTATCCGGTCTTTCACACTCTCACATTCTTTGTGCAGCTTCACAAGGTCCAAAGCCACATCAATCCAACATTATTTGCGAGTCAGGGTTAGTGTGCTTTTGTATAGGGTGTCTGGTTCTTAGCAGTGTGAATCAGTTACTGTTACAAAATAAGTCTTTTAATCTTGGCAAGCAATACTGTGCTTGTTTAATAAAAGTCAACTCGTGCAGAGACAGTCTGCTCTTCCTACAAATAAGTCCAGGAAGTGTCTGAGGAGTAAATCAATTAGTAAAAGTAGTTCATATTCAGAAGTGCATTGGGTGCAATTTCAAACTCAACTTCAAACACACTCAACTTCCAACACATGGAGGGATTTCCAATAAAGATTTGAGCACACGCAGGAAATGAAAAGCATCCAGCTGTGTACGAACGACTGAAACCTCCTCTGTTTGTATTTCGGTAAAACATCGTCTGATTTACATGAAAATTGCTATTCGAGAGGAATGGAAGAAATCAAATGGCTGCTCCACACAGTGACAGCTCTCATGGATGCTGCTCAGAGTTCCAGATGGATCGGCTGTTCTGCATCAGCAGGGCTCTTTCTGATTCAGGCTGGAACCGTCTGAGGCTGTTTACTCGAAGCGAGGGGCTTGTGTATGAAAAATGTACACAAACACCGCACTAAAAGGAAGACTGTGACAGCACCTGCTGGGATGTAGAAAATAAAAAGCAGAGGATTTGACTCTTTACATAAGGTAGGAGTGAGGAAATAAATAAGCCATTCTGTGGAATCCGTTTTCTGCAGCTTCTCCCCTTCCCGAGTATTTATAGTAGGGATGTAACGATATATCGCGATATCGCGGTAAATAAATGTCTCAATACCGTCGTGAGCAGTGGCGGCTGGTGGAAATTATTTTAGGTGGGGCTTTTGTAATGGTGAACATTTTGAGAAATGACCCCTTAAATGATGACTTCTGGTGATGTTAGAGATATGAGAAGACTGATCAATACCTCCATAATCTTCAGTGTGGTTAGCTATGAATCTTCCAAATACCTTGTCCTGGACATAGTTTCTACAGTAAACTGCAACAGTACCGTAGGTCCAAACAAACTGCAGAACACCGGTTCTTTGGGAACACTCAAATGATTTAATTCCCATTTAAAATCAGGAAACTAAATACGAACATTATATGCAGACACAGACGTGGTTCAGAAACACAGAAATATTAGAAAACAGACCATTAAGGCAACAAAATCTAGTTTGATGGATGCTGTCAAAACTCAACTATATACAATAATGTGTGTGTGTGTGTTTATTTATCACAGGCACATAGTATCTGTCCCCGGCTGTTTGAAGAGCAAGCATGGGAAACAAAAGACAGCGTTTACCTGTTTGCATCCAGCTAGTCACACACACAGTTACAATCACACTCCCTGTAATTTACATAATAGATAGTTTAGCTTCTCACCATAATTTGCTGTGGCCCACTGATGTTAACGATCGTAACTGAAAGGCTGCCTGTCAAACGTAAACATTCAGCCACGTGACTCGCAAACTCTCGCAAGAGTTTTACACAAGACGGATCCTTTCTAGCCATAACCAACTCACAGACTGTCAGGGTTTGAGTTTTTGTGTGTCTAGTTTCGGGGTTATTTTGCTGTTCTGTCCTCCTGTCGTTAGTTTCCCTGGTGTGTCTAATTGTCTGATTGTGTTCACCTGTTGCCCTTGTGTTTCTCCTCCCCTGCCCGGCTGTTTCTCATCTCGTGATTACCCCTCCTTGTATTTAGTCTTGTCTCTTCCTGTGTTGGTTCATTATTTGTCGTTCATGTTGGTCACAGTCCCTTTTTGTTTGGATGCTACCTCGTGCCTTGTACCTATTCATGGATTCATGGAGAATGAACCAACCTCTGTCAGGGTTGGGGAAAAATAGGACCCAAATGCAGAATGAGGAGGGAAGCAGGTTTCAAAATTGAACAAAAGGCGAGCTTTATTCACAAAAAGCTGAAAAAACAAGAATCCATGACAAGGTAGCATCCAAACAAAAAGGGACTGTGACCAACATGAACGACAAATAATGAACCAACACTGAACACAGGAAGAGACCAGACTAAATGCAGGGAGGGGTAATCACGAGACGAGAAACACAAGGGCAACAGGTGAACACAAGACAATTAGACACACCAGGGAAACTAACGACAGAACAGCAAAATAACCCCAAAACTAGACACACAAAAACTCAAACCCTGACACAGACTGCATCGGGCGCTGAAATTGCCGCCCTTTGAGCATCAGATCTGACGACTCTGATTGACTGAAATGATGTTTCGGCGGCATAGTTTACAGATAGCAACAGTCAGCAATGTGTTGGCTGCTGCTGCTCTGGCTGAGGGCTCCTTTCTTAGCACCTAGACGAGAGAGGGTAAGGATATGCTACGGCCAGGCAGGAAACATGACTTATCAGTAACTTTAGACATCGTTTAGATACAATTTTAAACGAGATTTTATTTTTGATTATACATTTTACTGATACCAACTATATAATATTACCTTTTTTTCATTAAAAATAAAAATATATATTTTTTCAATATATTTTTTATTTGAAATACAATCAAACATGTGGGAAGAGGGGGGACGGCGCCCCTAGCGCCCCTATGGGCCGGCCGCCACTGGTCGTGAGACTGACTAAATCTACCGCAATTGTATTTAATTAAAAAAAAAAAAAAAACTTTATTTAACCAGATGGTCCCATTGAGATCATCGATCTCTTTTTCAAGGGAGACCTGTCCAACATGGCAGCAAGTAGGTTACAACATGAACATAAAACAACAGATAACACAAAAGGACATCGTGTTTACAGGGCTACATCATGTACACACCTAGAGACATTGACAAGTACCAACAGTATATTTATCTCTCGCCCTGTCAATAAGCCTCACCTTGTTGGCTACAACTGTATTGTTTTTGAAGTGGTGGAGAGACAATGCACAGTTTTACCCACTGCTGTTACCCATGGCCAAAGCATATCTCTCTGTCCCAGCAACATCAGTACCAAGCAAGAGAGTTTTTTCCACAGCAGGGGATATTGTAAACGACCAAACATCCCAGCTTCTACCTCGAAATGTGGACATGCTCATATTCCTAAAAGATAACCTTGATGATGCTGAGTGAGTGAGTTAGAGTTGAGTTACTTGAAAAACTAAAGTGAAACTTGATTTATTCTATTGCAGGGTCTGATTATTATATTGTTGACACTTTAAAATACTACTATCCTACTGTACAAATCAGATTTATTATTTAATAAAGAAAAGAAGAAATTCACATTTTCTTTTCCTTTTATTTTTCAATATCGCGATAAATATCATACCGTGGACTTTTTATTGCGATATTATCGTACCGTGAGTTTTTGGTATCGTTACATCCCTAATTTTTAGTGAGAGATTCTCAACATCTGAAACTGAACATGTCCATTTATGAATGCCGAATCTATTCTCACAGCATGTCGTCTATCGCACACCAGATGTGGTTTTGCAGAAACTAGCCTTTAGATGTCTCACTGTCACTCATATGACATTCATAACCTGCTGGGGGTCTGGTGCCAGCGTGCTCATAAAGAGGCAGTCTGGGAGAAATAAAGAAGGTCCAGTGTGGTCAGCAGATTTACTACAGAGCTGTCAGCTTGACATCTGTAAAGATGGAGCATCCCAAAAATGTGCCGTTCCTCTCGGGCCCCATTTATCAACGAGAGACAGAGATTGCCATGTCAGGCCTGATATGATATACGGCGTCCAGTCAGGCCTCTTAGCTAGTATCAAGATATCTGGACAACATTTGTTTTCTAGAAGCTCAGTTCAACTTGTGTTCAGAGCTGTAGGGCTGTTAACAGTCTCAGAACATTTCCCAACACAAACAAGCTGTTACTCCTCTGTTTGCAGCATAATGGAAACACAAAGGATCTGAATTAGTTTATCAGATGTTTTAGATTCTGTAATGATGTGTATTTTCCATCTCTTTGTGGGACATGTGTTCCACCGCACATTCTATCAACAGAAATCTTTTCATAATAGTGCAACTTTTTAAATGAAACGAAAGATGAGCCATTTGAATAACCTTTGTGAGATTATGATGGACATTGTTGACATTTTATAAACTCAAGTAAACAACCCAAGTATGCACAGACATTTTCTGCAAGGTTAAATCTGACAAACTAACTCCATGGTTATATTCCTTTAATCTGTTTTAGTTAGTTATAAGTCTGACATTTGAATAAAGTACACATCACTGTTAGCAGTTCGACTCAATTCTTGATAAGAGATACGTTTTTAGAGAAGTACTCATCTGGCTTTTCATGTCCACCCATGGCAGCTGTTTATTTGCTTATAAAGTCGATATCTGTGAGTGTGCATGGACAGGACACACACCTTCTTCCAGTGAGACAGGACTAATGTATCTGATATGTGCCGGTGCGAGAGGCCCTCTGCAGGCATGTGGTCCTGGTTATCAGGCCTTACCTCCCTCCGGTATGCAAGTATTACATGAAACCTGCTTCAGTGATCCTGCAGTCAGAACCATACGTACGTAACATTCCTCGGGATCATCTGCATTTAATGTGGCGCCAGGTCCACTGCAGAGCAATATCATTTATTTTGTACCTCTCTATCACATGCAAAACACACACTGTTATCAACCCCCTTCCAGCACTTTTTTTAGCAAGCCTAATTATCATTTTTAATTAGCACCTTTCAATAAAAAAACCGTGTGCTGATGCAGAGCATGTTGTCTGAACAGCAGGGAAATGTTCACCACCATCTCTTGGCATCTCAGCCAAGAGCAGCAGCCCCGGTGATGACAGCAAACGCAGTTTCATCGTTTAGCTTGAAACAATATTTGATCACCCTCATAACTGTTGATTCAAGATTGCTAGGATTACAGTTATATAAGCCGACTGAATCGCAATCATATTTATCTTCGACAGGACCGATACCTGCAAAAACACTTGGTGAGAAAGTGAACTATATTTGTACAAAACAGGGTCCCTTAGCCACTTATTCAGATCTATTTTAAAACCTTAAAAAGAATAATACACATGCAACAGATGTACAGGGTAAGAGGTTAACATGATTTTCTGCAGCTATTTTCTTCGTAGACTTCAGATTAAACTTTCTTTTATTTTCAGCCTTCCATTAATGTTCCAGTTTGGCCTTTTGACAATTGTTTCTTCAGCCAGCATCAAAGGCTGAGACAGTGAACCGAGCATCTAAATGAAAACAGCAAACACATCTCTTTCATAACAATAGACGTCGCCTACGTCACAGTAATGTTTGCCCATAATTATTATCACAAAGGTACACGTCATAAAATGAATTGCAGCAGTAAGCAAAGTAACAAACAACACTCACCTTTGAAGAGCACCTCTCAATTGAATTGATTGAATGCCTCCAGTCAAATTGTGATTTTTATCACAGAAACGCGTTCAGAGAAATGCTTTGAGTACTTCGCTGTCGGCAGCTGGATGGAAAGCCAAAGATCATCTTTTCATGGAATAAAACGGCATTCCTTCTGAATCTAACAAGCTGTCGACACAAATCGTAGACCCCGTCAAGCTGTGAATGCTCAAAAAAAGACATTTGTTTGAATTACACATTGAAAGTGGCCTGGAGTGTTCCTTACACTACAAAGAAATGCACTTCGTGTAGCAATCTACTCTAGCTCAGGGATAAAGCACTTGTTTTATTGTTGATATTTGTCTCTGTATTCTTAGTAGCTCTGCAGCCGGGGCTTATGGGAGCTGTCAGCGCCGCTCAAGCATGATAAATAAAGTTGCACAGGCTTTGTATTGTGTGCAGTGAAGAAGACGCCCATGAATTACACTGACCTTGTCTCGCAGATACCTATCCCAGACAGGAGCTGTGCACTCTGTGAAACACTGCCAAAAAGCTGCAGCAGTAATGGGATGTTTCTGCAAACACAATATGCTTTTATTCTCAGATGTGCTTCATGTCACAGAGGGATATCGGTGATCAGTTTATCCCTTAGTCATAGAAGTAATCAGAATCTGAATACGAGGGGAATTATGTCAACAGTTGATCCATTAACAATAAAATACAATAAAATGATCCAGTAAAATGTAAAAATATTTATAAAAACAAGTTAAATAAAAGGTGTTTCAAATAAATAATATAGAACAATAATATAATATATATGTGATGTAATAAAGATATGTTGCTGAATTGCACACTGTATGATGGTCTGCCATAATTTAGAGCCGTTTGATATTGTACAGTTAAGCCTGTAAGGCATTCATTTGTCTTCTGCTGGTTAAAAACCTTACTTATTTTCTAGGATTTCATTCATACCAGTTCCATAAGGTTGATTTATTTTCACGCTAGCCACAAGAAGCAGGAGATACCATCACTGTGCTTCAGCTTCAGAGTCTATTCTCAGAATCACATACAAATTGTTTTGACTGTTACAGGATTGGCATCGCCTCACAACGCCTGCTGACCGCTCTGACCTCCCCTCATATTGTTGTTTAGACTATTTCAACCCCTTTTCAACTCGGAAAATAATCAATCCAGTCCACTGACCCTTTTCAGAAGGCAAACAGACTTTGAATAGGAAACTTGCTCATGTCGGATCTTACAAAAACAGATGTATTAAAGTTCCTTGGGACATGTGAAACCAAGCAATTGTTTCCTATGCAGTCAGCCTCCTGTGGGAAACCAGACGACTGGGTTTCAGGTCAATTGTGTTTTTCAAAGAATCCTGTTGGTTTTTATTCAAGTTACACTGGACTGTGGCATCAAGAGAGTAAACACACATTTACATATAGACAGCATTTTGTATGTATTCCCTGTGATCTGTTGACTGGAGGCTTTCATAGAGGTTAACTACTGCTTGAAAACAATATTATCCATTACAACTCAACAAAAAATGTGTTATTTGAGGATACAGACTTCCATTTTTTTTTCAGTTTGGGTTTACATGACTGATGCATCCCCTTTACTCTAGGATAGGGATGTAGTAGTACTGAAACAAATAGTTCAAAGAATATCAAAAAAAGAAAATGTTGACGATTCATGATTTCAACTTCTTAAATCAAACAAAATATAACTTAAAATACTTTTTTTTACATTTGAAGTCCTTAATCTAAGGGGTTATAGACATTATTGTCTATAACCCCAGTATGCAAATGCTGGACATCAACCGTGTTTTTTCTGAAGTCCAATAATATGTATTACATTTAATGGGTTTTGGCCAAGTACACATGACAGGTAGCACCATCTTTCTGTCTTTTACTAAATTCCTGATAAGACGGATTCTGGAAATACTGAGCAGTGTCAAAACAACTGGCTTTTCAAGTCAAGCCCTTGCAGCTGTTGGATTACACCAAATCCTCAAATTGCATCAAGCGCTCTTAAATCCAGCTGTTGCTTGAACCAGGTCAGGTGCGCAGAAGATGAATTATTTATCATGTGACCAGACTGCCCTCTTACTGTCCTCCATCTTAGTAAATCTATCCAGGCTGGAGCTAGGGAGGAGACGAGGGTTCGGTATCTCATCCAGGAGTAATGGATGATATGTCACAGAGACAGAGAGGCTGGTGCATGCTAAGAGGCGGGCACAACGTTTCCCCCTTGCCAAAGCCAACTTCTGACTGATAGATTGTCGCAGAGCCAAGGACCCTCGATCAAACCTGGGACCCTTCACTGCACAAGACCTTAGGAGAGAGGAGCTGCGTATTCCTCTCACACACCTCATTTTTCCAGGGAAATGCTCTTTTACCTCAGGCCATTTTCAAGGGAGCATCACTGCTGTATGATCTAAGCAACCTTTAGATCATACAATAATGGGAAAAGAAGATAAACATGTTGCAAGACAAGATTGCCTTCCACAACTTGGGGCAATAGGGCTCCTGTAGGACTATTAAATGGAACAAAGCTCATCTGTATAGACGCTCAGCAGCAGCGATTCACAAACAGTCACACACAACCTTAAGGCTTTCTATAAATGGGTCTCCGTCCTGATACATTTCTCTTATCCTGTAGATGGAATTCTTTTTTTCCTTTTTGCTGAACCTTCTCCACCCAAGGCAGATGAACACAGCAAATGATATCGAAAAACTCATTCTCATATCTACTGCTTTTATGAAATCAGAGTCTGCAGAGCACTACTATTCAAAGGATTTAAAGGCTAGTTTTGGTAATCTTAAGTCTTCTTCTCTGAGAATGCAACATATAACATACTTAGCATAAAAAAGGGCAATAGACAAAATGTTGCAGGTAAGGAAAATGCATACAAAAAAGATAGAATACATCACACATAATGATAAAGCAAATATATCTTAGTGTAATAAAACGTTCTTATTATTAAAACGTATTGTATTACCGTAATAAAATTAGAATTTTCAGACTCTTCTGTTATTGTTAGGTATAGGTGATTCTTTCCTTTCTGTTTCAGGAAACCTCCAGATCTGGGAACGGCCGTCACAAGAGGTGAGTCTTTTTTCTTGTTTTATTATCCGGACACTTAGAGCTCAGTTTATCTGCCTCAGCATCACTAGTAATGTGTCAGGAGGCAGAACAGAGGCCGGGATGAGAAACACACTTTGTGTAATTAATTACGAGGGAAGATTCCCTCTGAAGGGGTCCGAAGCCCTTTTCCTGATGTTGTCACCGTGGATCGTTTGCCTCCCTGCTGCTCTTTTCATGTATAATGGCTCAAGAAAGATGCCTTTTATTGACATATTTGAACAGTGGTTGACAGGACACCATCTGGACCTCGTAACCACCATTTGTTCACTGCGTATCTGGTAGGGCGTTTTGAAGAAAAATCATTTGCTTTGAAAGGATTGGAGTCTAAAATCTGTGCTTCATTTCGGCCAAGATTGCACTTGATAAGGGGCTTTCAAACTTCAAAAAGATTGATGCTTGCACCAACAACTCCTTCTGGACAGATTTTTTCTTTTGATTTCATAGAATTTACTGTAGAAGTTTTGGCAGAGAGCACAGAAATGGTGGACGAAATGAAATATGCTTTCATCTGCTTCCATTATACTTCCCTACAAATTAAATAGGAGTGACTAAACTCTTGAAGAAAATTAGAGTAATTAGATGAAGCCTCACAATGCAGCCTGTAACACACAAACATTTTAACAAGTGGTGAAGTCCTTTTGAGAACATTGGCGTGTCCAGCATGAATTTATTTAGCTTTTTTTCGTGGCCAAACAACAAAGTTCTGCAGCTGACATTCAGTCTGGCCTGTAGTCATGGCGGCTGCTCTCCTCAGTTTGCCTGGCTTCACATGGACGCTCCACAGATCTGCAGCAGAAAACCCGCCAGGTGGGCCGGGCAGCACCAGAAGTCTGACAGAGCAACTTTATCGATACGTGTCTAACTACAATTGACCCTCTTTTCGAGCCTCTCCTGCTTTAGTCCCTTTATCTTGTCTCTAGAAGACATTCATCTGAACAGTGTGTTCATACTCTCCACAAAAACACCCTTTGTAATAAAATGTAGCTTTTTGTGCAGCTCTGATATATCCTATCATTTGTTAACCATATCTCCTGTTGATATATTGATATGAACTGTACGTTTTTATCATGTCTTACTTATTTCAAACCAACATTTTAACTGATAATATACATGTTTTGGGACCATTTAGTAGTTAGGGTTTGTTTAGTTTTGATGGTATTTGGTTAGAGTTAGGTGTTTTTAGCTTATAAACGTTTCTGTATAATACATGAACTCCCCTATTCTCAACTCCAGCTTATCCGGCTTTCCAATTTCCAATACCTCAATTATGTCTGTATTATTCTGCTTGAATGTGTAACCCTTTGTGAACACAATTTGGAGATAACTTGAGGCATATTCAAAAGAATCCCCAGATATGCACATTAAAAAGCAACAACTTTTAGCATAAAGCTGCTTAATTCCAGAGCTAAAACAGAGAAGGGTCAATATGATCTAGAAGTAAACCTAGTACTGCTTAATAAATAAGAAATATATAATCGACTTTTACTGTTGTATGTTGAAATTAAATTCTATTCAAATATCTAGGACTTGACATTGTCTGCTTTTTCTGCAGTTAGCTCATGCTGCTTATTAGCTTTTCAACCCTTTTTTGTGTGTCTGAAGCTCGTTCTAGCTTTCAATTTATTAGCTAAACTATCTACCAATCATACCTCATCTTGAATAGTTTGGGGGCGTGAGATATTGAAGTCTTACAAACAAAAATACACCTGGGCCAGCCCTGCCTACTTAACTTAAAGGGGACATATCATGCTATATTTGAACAATATATTGTAGGGCCATACCTATATAAAGTATATAAATACATATATTTTTTTCAAAATACCAAACAGATCCTGCATTTTAGACATGCCTCATTTCGCTCCATTTGCTCTTTCCAGCGCTGTTTTTGCAGGGGCTGATTCTGTGAGCTGCAGCTGACCACGCCCCCCTGCAGGAGAGGGGAGCGTGCTCTGAGATCAGCTGCTGGGCGGTCTGTAGAGGGGGAGAAAAAGAGATCTCCGTCCTCCGTGTTTATTCTTATAGAAGTAAGAAGAGAAGTAATGGGGCAGAAACCCTCCTTTTTACGCAGCGGTCCAGACATAGACATCAAACGGCGACACATATTCAGTTGCCAGTTACTTTGGCATTAGGGCAGGGATATCTAGATACTTTCCAAGGTTTGACATCATGAAGTGTGCTACTTTTAAAGCAAGCAACGATATTTTCAAATCTGTAATCAAAAAGCTCCTCAAAAATGCTATCGAAGCAGTTCTTGCCGTTGCTACGTTAGTTCAAACAGTAACAACGGACTATTTTTCTTAGCGGATGCATGTCAATTTAAATCAATACAACTATTTTTTAAATCAATAAAATCATTTTCTAAATCCATAAAGCATTTCAATTAATATTGGGAGTCATGTCGTTACTTTGTCGAGAATGTGGCCATGTGTAATAAGCGGGATCTTGATCCCTCCGCTTCGCGTCGGGCTCCTAATCAGCCTGTCGGTGTTCTTTTCCCCATAATGACCGCGTCGCTGCACATTATCCCTTACATATGATTATATAGTCATTATTCATTTGTTTTAAAGCAGGAGGCGCAAAAGCTTGCTTCGGGGAGGGAGAAAAAGAGCCACAGCGGAGAATAAACAGAAGGGCAACCATGGCAACCATGGAAGGGAAGTCTTCTTCGCTGCTTTTGTGGCACTTACAGGCCTGGTATATGTACTACAGCGTCTCCAGCGCTTTCGAGCGGCAATGGCCGGCTGTGGCCCAACCTCTCATTCCCCTGATAGGTGGAGAGTTGACCACTAAGCGGAGCACCCCTTTTGTGACATAGAAAATAATTCAAATCTGGATCAGTCTGTATCAGATCCGTTACAGCCCCTTTTTTAGAGATTTGGGTATAGAGGAAAAGAGAGAGGGTTGTGTTTTCTGACACTTGGTGAGTTCCCTGACACACCGGGGACACATATTCATGTATAAAAGACGTACAAGAGTGCATTTTGCATGATAGGCCCCCTTTAACTTGAAATCTCAGCAGCCATTGAAATAAAAAGCAGTGGCTGGCGTGCACTTGCAAGCCTCCAGCGATAAATTACAATCATTTTATGCAAAGGGTCGTAGAGAGATATAAGTGATTACTTTAGCAGCTCAAAACAGCTCTGAATTGCTTGATGTTTTCTTTATTTTTAAGGATTGGCCTGTTGAGGCGGGTTGTTAATCTGTTGTTTCAGTGCTGCGTGTCGAGGTTTCCAATGTCGTTTTTGGACATATTGACACTTGAGTTTGTAGGAGACATAGTTCTACCTGTGGCTGCTGCTGTTATTTGCTCTCCTGTCTGAGCTTTCTCCTCTCCCCCCTGCTGAGACTCCCGAGGGCGCGTGATTGGCTCAGCCTCTCTCTCCCCCAGACCTCACGCTGCAGGGTGCTAATGGGCTGCGGTGTGATATTTAGTTTCGAGGCCATGGATGTTTAGGCTTAGCTTCATCACCTGCTGTGTGTTGTTTGTGTGTGTGTGCAAACAGGGAGATTTTTCTTGAATCACGATGACATGCAAGGATGTTGGCACGCATGCCATGCCACTCTTTTGTGGCTTTTTTTCAGCCTCATGGAGAGGGGAAGCAGTCGTCGTCACGCTTTGTAATGTATACGTGTTTGTCCATGCAAAAGCGGTTTGCATGTGTGCTCGTGCCGATAACGACTACCCATGAAGACTACCCATGAAGACTGCATGAGAGAGACAAATAATACACACGTTATCTTGGCGTAGGCGAGTGCCAAGGAGAGCGTTTCAAGGACTCCTTCTTGATCATACATGATGTTCCTGCACTTTGTGGCTCTCTGTAAAAATAAGCAAGACAAAGCCGTTGGTCCTGTAAATGTCACGAAACTGAAAAATGCCACTTCTGCTTGTGTAGTAGAAATGCCACAGTAACCTCAAAGAGGACGGAAACTGAGAGTCAAGATTTTAAACGTATGTTTACATCATGTGGCTTTTGTCTCAAAACCAGGAATCCTATATTCGCCCAACAGCGGGGAAATGTCAAATGTTGCTCCAGATAAAAGGCAAAATAAAATTATTAAAGGAAGAGGTCTATAACAATATACAGTAATAAATCGAACAATCAAATTGATTCGCTGTACGTTTTTGTCCACAATAAATATTTGTTTGACATTTATATTTTTGCTGTATGATTTAAGAGGGAATGATAGTTTCATAATTCTCATATTTATTGAAAATCATTTAATAGATCATGGTGTGATTTTTTTTTTTTTGTGCAGGAGCTGTTCAAAACAAAGTTCTTTTTTTATGTCTCTAGAATATTATTTGTAGACCAAAGTACTTTGTAAATATGTCTAATAATGGGAACATCGTAGTTGGCAGATCCTGAAAAGAATGCAGATTGTACAAAGGAGTTATATTTGTCCTTTGTCTTGAAATATGCAGACAGCCCCCTTCAGACAACCCAGTGAAGCCCACTGACGTACAGAATCATTTCATTCCCAGGGAGGTTTTATAAACCTGGCACAATGTGTTCCTACCGGGGAGAGTTGGTAGTTGTGTATTGGTGGGTGCAGAGCCAGCAACTCATTCCAACTTTCCACGTCAATAATTATTGAAATAAGGTCAGTAATAAAATATACTGCGCATGAATATTCTTTCCTCGCTGCACCGGAATCTGTCTCTAAGTAGCGAGAAGGTGAAGAGGAGATAAGGTTAATGTTCTGCTCGAGCTGCATACAAAAACCTCTTGTTTTTTCCCCACAAGCTTAAGAACAGTGACGCATGAGTGGCCACCGCCATTCTTGAGCCTATTTGAAGTTGTAAATTGTTTCTTAACCAGAATCCTTTTTGCACTAACATTTCAAATCCTTGACGGCCTTTTCTTTCCAATAATGGAATAAAAGGCACAGGGTTGTTAATAATGCACGTCTAATTGAAAGGGCATGCAGAAAATGTTCCCACCTGTTCTTTTAATGATAGATGTGTCATCATCCATCCAGCCATCTTCTCCCGCTTATCCGTGGTCGGGTCGCGGAGGTAGCCGTTCCATGTGTCATAAGCTTAATAGTGTGGCTCTGATTCCTACCTTTAAACAGTGTGAATACGGTATTGGACAATTTAAATAGTGGGAATAGCCACTAAATGCCCAAGAAAGGTGATGTTCATTTGTCACATTGCAGATTTTGTCACCTTAACTCTTAAATAGAATTCAGTTAGATGGGCACACTTTTAGTATTGAATGTATATAAATATATTCCTAATAGGTGTGAGAGCTCCTCTCTGCCATCAGGAGATATATATGGTGAAGAGAAATAGCAAGCATAGTATTTTTGTGTAGGTATATAGTATATGATAAATATATATGAATAAATAAAATGGTCTTTTCCTTAAAGATTATTTGAATTGGGGAAATAAAGTAATTTAATATGACGTTTATCCTGTTCAAAGAACGTTATTTTTCACAAGAATTATTCAAGAATTCAAAGTAAAAAATAAATAATTGATCATTTGAGTTGCATCTAATGTTATATTTCTGTTTTTGTGTGTTTGTAACAGCTCTTCAGGGCCGGGTTCTGAGGAGGAGGGGGGGGGGGAACAGCAGACAACGACACAACCGTCACGCCAGAGATGAGACTTTAGAGAAGAGGATGGAGGAGCTGGAGGCGGTACGTCTTCTGACCCTGGGGTCATATTACTGCTCGGTTCCACTCGTTTTCCACAGAAACTCAAGAAAGTTACATTGTGTTAAAAGGAATAGACTCAGTTTATTGTCGTTTGATAGTTTACTTCATAAAGGATGCTATTAGACTTCAAACACAAACATCTTTGCTGATGGAAAGGTGAGTAAGTGTTGGCATCTTATCTTGGTCCGGATGAGTCAGAATACACACTTTTGTCAGGTTTGATCACCTCCCTGCTGTGAGAAGGTCAGTGCTGTTGTTCTTGAGGGTTTGATTGATATTTATAGGAACATTTTGCACACTTGCTGATTATCTTTTAGTTATTACTTTGGCTAATGCGTTTCAGTGATTCATACCACCAGTTCTTCCTGCTGCTTTTAATAAAAATAAGGTTTAATTACGATGGAATAAGAACAAACTGTTCTTTTTAATCACATGTTCTCTCGGTTTGTTTTTAATTAAATTATAATCCATAGTTTCAAACAGATATCAAATGAGCAACTCATTACATGTATGCCACGTTGAATCATTTTTTAAATGATATAAATATTCTTTTAAGTTCTTCATTTTCTTAACTTTATTTCCCTGCACTAAGGTGTAAAAGCTGATTTGTGATTCAAAGTGTCAAGCATATACGTGTGAAGCAATACAGATGTTCTTTATATAGATATCATTTATAACATTTGAACATATTTCATTCAAAAATATGTTTTATGTGTTATTCAAAGTCAGCTTCATGTCTGAAAATCAATACTGAGGAGAGTACAGAGCTGCCCTGACATGAACAAAAACATTTCTTCTTTGAACATGCTTTCTTGTGGCGTTTCATTCTCTTCCAGTATGCCCAGTGTGTTACCGTCAAGGTGTCAGATTCACCCTTGAAATAGAAATCTCAGCAAGTGAAAGCAGACCTGAAGAAGCTGACTCCTTTTATCACCTCAGGAACATCGCCAAACTCCGCCCCACACTCACTCTGTCTGACGCCGAAAAGCTGGTCCACGCCTTTGTCTCCTCCAGGCTGGACTACTGCAATGCGCTCCTCATCGGGATCCCTAACAAAAGCATCCAGAAGCTCCCATACATTCAGAACAGCGCTGCTAGGATCCTGATGAGGGTGCGCAAATATGATCACATCACCCCCATCCTTAAAGCACTACACTGGCTACCCGTGGAACTGAGGATCGAATTCAAGGTCTCCGTCCTCACCCACCAGTGTGTCCATGGAACTGCCCCTCCCTACCTCAAGGAACTCCTCACCCCCCATACCTCCTTGCGGACCACCCGCTCCAGCAACTCCAACTTCCTCAAACCCCCCAGGACTAAGCTCCGTACTATGGGAGACCGGGCCTTCTGCTCGGCTGCTCCCAGTCTGTGGAATGCTCTCCCCGACCAAATGAGAGCACCACAGACCGTGGAGGCTTTTAAAAAAGGCCTCAAAACCCATCTCTTCAAAAGAGCCTTTGCCTAGACCTTTTTATCACCCTTTTATTTTTTGTTATTGCTTTTTATTAATTCTACCGTGTTGTGTAATGTTTATTTATACTGTTCATGCTCACTACTTGTAGCACTTCGGGATTTGAAATCAAATATGAAGTGCTTTATAAATGGAACCCATTATTATTATTATTATGTTCACTGGGTTTCCTCCCTCTTTTTCCCTGTGTGTAACCAAAGATAAATCAACCGCAACCACCACGGAAATATCAAATCACAGAGGAATCATCCGTTATATATGCCTTAACTTCCAAATCCTATCAACTTTTCATTGCCTTTTTTTTTTTTTGGAAAGTCCATCCCAAGTTCTGAGAGCCTTTAACAGCTGCACTTTGTTCAGTCGAAATGTCACTTTGAGACCTTTGATCGGTTGCCTGAGTTGTGATTTAATGGCTGGAAAGTGTGGCTCAGAAATCCTCCTCAGTGTTGTTGAAGCGATGACCTTTTACAGTGCAGATATGTCTTTTCCTCCTACACCACTCTGATCTGACACCCAACCCCTCACTGCTGCCACTGCAACAAAAACATCTCTAAATAAAATGTCACTTGGGTGGGTTTCGGAAAAAAGCTTTTTAAAGTAAGAACTGCTTTGACCTCAGTGGCTTGGAGGTATTTCTCTGAGTAAAGGCTCTGGAATCATTTCTAAAATCCCATTTCATGCACTTATTTTTGTGCATTGTTTCCTCGGGCGGGGGTGGGTATGTCGAAGGTTGGCTCGTATGACATTGCTGCCAGGTAAATCTCTGAGTCTCCAGCCTGCAACGTTAAATCCTTAGACATTGCTTACATAAGTCAAACAAGTACCAACATGAACAGTATGTTTGATCTTTAGAAACTATATTTCTCACAGTGAAACCTGTTCTACAAAGCCAAATAATATCAGACCACAACCCAGAGTGGAAGGAAAGTCACATGGCAAGATCAGATGAGCTCAGGTTTATTATAGGAGTACACAGTAATTTACTTTGGAGCATACGTTAACATAGAAAGAGGAATTAAAGGGGCCCTATTCTGCTCATTTTCAGTTTCATAATTGTATTTAATTTGGTTCAGTTTGGTGTGTAAGGCTTTAGAGAAACATTTTGTGACCATTAACAAAAACCTTTAAGTTGTTCAGACAAGGACATGTGTTACGAGTCTTTTTAAAAACACACACAAATATATAAGAGTAAATGTTTACTAGAAATATAAATATACTTAAAAGTAAGTAAATACAATAAGAATATGACATAAAATAGTTATCATTCTCTCCCTAACATACCAACTCTCTGAAGCTAAGTAGTATCTAACCTCAACCTTGTTGTGAGGACATGTCATAGAGCCAGGTCACGCATTCAGAGAGAAACAGCTAATATACATTTGGCCTGCGTTACTATTAAGGAGTACATGAGATGTATGTTCTTATACTGCAAAGCTGCATTTATCAGTAGTTCCTTTTTAAAAACAAGAATGAATAGAGTTTGCGGTTGCATTTATGTCCCCTACATTAATGCTTTGTACTGCAGAGAGATGCCAGACCTCCTCTACTCAGGACTTTATTATAATATTCTAAACCACATCCCCGAAAAACCTTTTAAAACATGTTATTTTGAGTTTTTCCTTTCAGTCAGCAATGCCTCAGTGAAAGTGTTTTGAAACTGACAATAACAGTTTCCAATACAACTGAAATAATTACAGTTTTAAGTAATTGTTTGAACCTTTTCCTCTGTAAAACATATCTATAATTGATGTAATCATGTTGCCCGTGTGTATCCAGGAGCTGGTCAGAGAGCGCCAGGAGAACGAGCGGCTGCTGAAGGCTCACGAGGACAAAGACGACCTCATCGGGAAGCTGAAGGAGGAAATCGACCTGCTGAACAGAGTGAGTCCAGTGGTGTCTGATATTTTGAGCGCTCCTTTGTGGTTTCATGTGTGGGCGGCCTGTGTGGGTTGAACATCATCATGTGGCATTTTAGTGCACTTTTCTATAAAAGCTTTGTGTTTTTCTACACTGATTATTTATTAGACACAAACAAACAGTTATGTTTGGATCGACACACTTACACGACGACAGCACATATTTTACACAGAGGCATTGTATGTGCAATTTGTATTCTAAAAACTCACCGGAGGTCTGATGACATTTCAGCCTCATAGTTACTGCCTCCCAGTGTTGCATGTAATATTAATGTCTTATTGATTTCTCCACCAAAAACTAATGTGCTGCCTGGTGGATACAAATCTCAGATTGTACATCTCAAGCTAATCTGAAAATATATATATCTTTTTGTTTTATTAGGCAGTTCACCTCCCAGGGTGTTTTGACAGATCCTTTTGGTGAATAAATGAAAGAAAGAAAGAGATGGATGTGTAAGAAAGTGTGCAGCTGAAGGCACCGTATTTAACACAGTCTTCAACTTTAAAAAACAATCTTTTACTTTTTCAGTGCTGTGAGGTTAAATCTCTCGCTCTACTTTCATTTGATACACTCTCAGGCAGTGTGTTTTATGGTACACTCAGAACTAGCTTACAGTTTTCATAGTGTGCAACATTCAAAGAAGTTAATTCAAACCTCACATTCAGTAAGGTAGAGCCTCCAACTCATACTTGCCAACCCTCCCGATTTTCGCGGGAGACTCCCGATTTCATTGCCCTCTCCCGGTTTCCTCCCAGGGTCATATTTCTCCCGATTTCTGACAAAATCAGATTTACTCACGACTGTTTCCACTCGGACTTTAATACAGCTACACCAGGGGTGGCCAACCCGCGGCTCTCGAGCCGCATGCGGCTCTTTGCCTAGTTTCATGCGGCTCTTCAGTTCATATCGAATTTTCTGTGTGAGTTTGGGGGAGAGACACTGACTCCTGACTAGTGTTGCACGGTGTACCGATACTTGAAAGGTACCGCGATACCCTGCCATTAAAAACGGTACGATTCCTCCGTTTCATTAGTATCGGTACTTTAAGAATGACGGGGAAAGTACTCCGGTGAGAAAGCGCCGTTTAATAAGAGCCGTGTGTGTTCAGCGCTCTGCTTCCACTCCCTGCACTGCAGCCGTGCCTGCAGTCCCTCCCCTCTCAAGCACGCTCTAAGTGCCTCCCCTCTCTCGTGCACGCGCTAGCTGCCAGAGCATGTGAGAAAACGAGAAGCATGGCTGCAAATGGGAGTGCAGCTGCCGCTGCGCCTCGGCTTGTTGACAAAAGACGCCAGAAGCGAAATTTGGAAGTATTTTAGCTATATCTCTGACAGTGAGGGCAAGCCTACGGACACCACGAGGCCTGTCTGTCAGACATTTATTAATTTTATTTAATACGAATTCTTGTCATTTATTTTATTTATTGTTCTCATTGTTTAAAAGTGTGTGTTATGGTTCTGGTGTGAAATAAAGCACAATAATTACATTTAAGACCGTTTCCCTTTTTTAAAGAAAATATCGAAAAATAATCGGAATCGCAATTCTTGACTTGGTATCAAAACCAAAATGTTGGTATCGTGACAACACTAGCTACTCCTGACAGTTAAACCTGATATTTAGTAGGTCTGTTAAGTATTGAATGCTGATAATTCTGACGTAATTTGGCCGGTCAAAGTTGTTTGGGCTCGGATAAAATCGCTCCGTTACTTTCGTCCCGTGTTATGTATGTGGTGTGTCAGTATGAGAGGATGACAGCGCGTATAATTTTTATGTGGCCCAAGAGCCAATCACAATAATACCTGCGATGCAGTGAAACAATCACCTTTGAAGGGGGGAAAACCTATCGTTGATTAAACATTATCCAGTGTTTCCCCTACCATTGTTTTGGAGGGGCGCTGAGCCCCGCCAACGGAGCCCCGCGCCCCCCCTGAAATTCAAGGTGTTTAAAAAAAATATATATATAATTTTTTTTTAAAATATATATATAGCACCAAATTGCAAATAATCTATAACTACTGTCACTTTTCACATTGAACATGTGCTCTTTTATTAAATAAACTAAACGCTTTCATTTTAAGTTATGAGTTTAGTGTTTTTGACCCTAAGAAACACTGATGCATTAATCAATAACAATAATCCACAGCTCCTCTCTCTGCTCCAGAGGATTTAAAAAATATATATCCCAATGCCACAAAAACGCATCAGTGACGTGGTTGAAATCTTGTCTCCAGAAAACAAAAAACTGAAACAAGCGGTATCAGTGACTGTGTGTTTGATGTGGCTCTTTGCAGTAACATAGAAAAAATGTGGCTCTTAACCTCTGACTGGTTGGCCACCCCTGAGCTACACCATTGTTTGGTTTCCATGGTAGCGCGTCTCTTTAGCAGCGTGCGCAACTCAAAGTCTGAGAGGGTGAGGTGTCACAGACAACTGAACAAGAATCAACAACTCGACCCTCTGCTCACTCCTTTCCTGTAAAATACAGGTCCAGCCCACACATATGCTCCATGGTGCTACAGGCCGCAAGGCAGTGCACTTACAACTACAATAAGTATGTTAATGTTAATCTAATACAGCTCCGGCAATCCACTACTAGCACCACCACCCCCCCCCCCCCCCCCCCCCCCCCCTCGCCCCACGGTGGTTTTGAAATGCTCCCGATGTCTGAGGTCTCAAGGTTGGCAAGTCTGAGTCCACCAAATCTTCAGCCAATCAGTGTGCTATTGTCAATCTATCCAGAAAAAAAGATTACAATCAACAGAATGGCTTTGTTTCACTGCTGCCTGCAAGGCCTCATTTTCTATTTAAAATTCAGCTCATTTGTCAGATTCATAATCCAGCTAACTGTGAACAGCGCACTTTTTGAGTTTATGGGCTTTTGGAGTTTTTGCTCAAGTTTTTTTTGCATTTTAGTACGTTTAAAAGAATCTGACAGAAAAAGGGGAAAGCATAAAGAAATCTAAAAGAATTGTACACTAGTTTTATTTCTTCATGAATTAGTCATTATGCATTAGTAACAATTATTAATTATTCTTGGTTTAAGAATACTTGGTTCATGAGAACTCTTTTAACCTGGGGGTGGATTAGGCAAATGAAGCCGCTGACGTCACTTCTTCTTCTTCTGCTTTGGGTTTACCGGCAGGCCGCAAACCACCCAAAGTCCCCGGCCGGAAGTCCCCGGAGTTGGGGACTGGCTTCAGTAGAAGCTGCTGGGACTCCCAGCAGCTTCTACTGAAGGCTTCCGAGTAAATCGCCAGAACGCCGACACCTCCTCATCTCCACCGCTCCCATGTTTTATTTTGTGTTGCCATAAGTTAGTCTCTCTGCGTTTCTGCGCTGGGCTAATGCTAATAATGCTAATGCGAGGATAATAAAATGGCGGCTTCACAAAACTTTTTGGGAGTTTTACGGGGCGTGGTTTGCAATCCGCCCAGCCAATCAGAAATATAGCTCTTTTCTCACAAGAGAGCCGTACGAAAGTCCCTGCTCTCTAGCAGCTCTCTGCTCTCTAGCAGGGACTTTCGTGGGGGTAAAAAGGTTCTCATGAACACATTTTAGTACCGGCTCTTTTTGGTGTGAACGCGATAAAAGAGGCTAACGTCCACGCTAGCTGCTATATGTTTTGCATTGAGGTGATACTTGATATGCTGCGGTGATATGCGAATTTCTTTTTGCATAATTTGCACACAACCGTGCTCTTATCGACGCTTCCATCCGTCCGTTTTTTAAAACAACATTTCCCACTGTTGTTCACTGTGGTTTGTTGTTGTCTGAAGTCATGAATGTTAGTTGGTGCTCCAGTATAATCGGTACGCCTGAAACTCATCCAGTGAGAAACGTTCCGCGGTGCAAAAATAAGTGCGATTAAAATGCGTTAATTTTTTTAACGCGTTAATTTTTGTGTAATTAATTAATCTTAATTAACGCGTTAAAGTCCCGGCCCTAGAAATAACCAAATCTACTTTTTAGCATCTCTAAAGCAAAACATAGCAGGGGAAATAAAACACTTTCATCTGTAATGTCCCGAGAACAGCAACTAGGCCAATAAACGTTGCTGGGTTATTATCTCGCCTCTTCAGTCCTCGTGATACACACTGCTACCGCTCTGCAAACACTGAGTGCAATATTGCATCCCGCTGATAGCATCACAGGGACAGGAAGCTGGTCCGAAGCAGAAGGCCTTTATGTAAGGACGGTAAACGTGGTGATAGCCATCAGAAATGGCCCCAAGAGAGGCCCCCGCAAGGCCTGATGGGAAAGCAGGAGATAACAGCTGATCCAGTCTCTGTGCAGAAGAAGATTGAAGCCTCAGTGAAGTTTATTTGGGAGAGAAAGAAAAGATAACTGCTGGACTTAAATCTCTTTCTTTTCATATACTGTGAAGAGAGAAGTCCTGCTCTTATCCCACATACATCAGTGTGATTCAATCTTCAAACTTATGAAGAAGTAAGTTGTACATTTGGTATTTTCAAAGGTTAAAGGGCTAGTTCGGATTTTTTGAAGTGGGGGTTATATTAGGTACTTTCATTCATAATCAGTATGTACCTTCAGTAGAAGGCAAAGTAGAGACCTGCTTTATAAAAAATGTATTTCAGCTACCTAAAAAAAGGTCTGCTTCTCTAAACTGAAGGCAAACCATGTACTGAGTGTAATACGCTGAATATGTATACTATACATTATACAACCCTACACTATTATTGTTTCATTTTTGGCCACTTGGAGCAGTGGAAATATGGCGAAAAAGCGACATAATTACAAATTGATAAGGCAAACTTTTAGCACAACTATTAACACATTCAGTAGATTAGGAGGAACAGTATTGTTAGTTTGAAACACCGTTTGCAACCCTTTGCTGAGTGTAAATCCAATATTCTCTCTTTTTAGCACTGTTTTTGTCTCACTAGCTACACGCAGTGTGAGCAGGTAGTAAACAGTGGGTTTTGACATGAGGTCAAAGCAGTGAGGATAAACCAAAACAGTACAATTGCAACCCAGATCACCAAACAACTTACTAACTGAAGCTCATTTTAAGACGCCATAAAGCCAAGGAGAGCCTCAAATTCAGGTACCCCTCAATAGGTTCACCACTACAATCTGCATCTTTCACATCGTCACTTTGTTATCCCAAGAATATCCCTTATGGTTGCCTTAAACACAAAGGTCTGAAACTCGTCTGCACATCACTCGTCAGCATGACGACACTGACCTCCTCAGTTTGACTTTCTCTCTCTCTGTGCAGTTGATCTTGTCTCAACAGCCACGATCATGATCAGTGATGGAAGAAAACAAAAATAAGGAGTGTCACAACCGAGAGCCTTTCTCATTTCTACTAATTAGAGCTGCTAATGTCTCATTTGTTGCCATTAAGGCTGGCTGTAGGGGGGGGGACGACGACGACACCACGCAGCAATAACGCCAGTCTATTGACTCAGAGCGCAAGGCACTCCGAGTCAATAGCCTGGCATTAGAACATACTTTACCCTCTTAAACTGTGCAATTCATATTCAAATTGAAACTAGTTCACTGCTGTATACAGTATATTGTAATTTACATGCTATATATAGAAGTACAAAGTGCACATTTTTACCTTAATTTCTATATTTATATTCATATTTTCATTCTATTTTTGTATTTTATTTAACATTATACTTAAACGTCTTCTATTCGTACACATATCTTTATTTTATTTGATATATGTTATCCTTATATTGCACAACCTTACTTAAACGTCTTACATTTATATACTGTACATATTTGCATAATTGTTTTGACATTACACCTTAATGTCTTTTGTTTGTATAAATATCTTCATTCTATTTAAATGTATATTATTTGATGACTAACTTTTGAGATGTTTATATCAATAAATATATATATTTGTATTTTATTTAATAAAAAAGTGGAGCAACTGTCAAAAACCCCATTTCCCCAGGATAAATGACCTATTCTAATTGTGATTATTTAACACTCACCTGGCAGGAGCCTCAACCGTACGGTGGCTGTTGTGAATATTCTCTTTAAATAATACAGAAAGTATTAACCCGGTTTTGCCTTTTTTCCTCAGGACCTGGATGACATCGAGGATGAGAACGAGCAGCTGAAAGAGGAGAACAAGACTCTGCTGAAGGTGGTGGGTCAGCTGACGAGGTAGAGACCCCCCCCCCACCCTTGAAGATCTGCTTCCTCCTGACCCCCTGCAGCATGTCCTTAAATCGGTTTAATTCTGTCTCTCTGTGTGTAAGAGGTGAAACTGTAAAGTAGAGGAGCCTCACAGCCCTGAGTACATCCCCCCCCCGAGGAGGATTTATCCCATTGTTGGTGAAGGCTGAGTGAACTAGAGGCAGTCTCACGGGATTGATTGTCATCGTATACATATTTAATGTAAATGTATTGTATATAGGCCATTTAGATTGTTCATTTTGGGGGGATATTTTTTTTTTGATAAGGTCTATAAAAGCAAAGGTAAAATGAATGTATGTGCTCAAAAACAAGCACACAAAGTCTTTTGAAACTTGTATAACGGTTTAATGAAAAATCCTCCGTATCGCAGCCGTCACCCAGGTAACATGAAATCTCCAGTGTTATTTCAATTAAGAGCAGTTTTATCAGTGTAACAATGGAGCTTCTTTTGAGGACCAAATTCGACATCACTGCTACTGTACCGTCAGCCAAAGTCTCACAATACATGTCAGGGTATTCTGACATTTCTATCCAAATAATGTTTTAAAGCTTGGTGCTATCTAATTGAACATGAGTGCTAGAGTTACTTCCATCCAATCATTTCTCGTTAGACTAAATTCCAATTCGGAAATCTACAAATGAAGAACATTGTATTAAAAATCATTCCAGTTTTAACGTTAACAAGACTTTATATGAATCATGTGCTTTACGCATTTCATTCCTAACATCTGAGTATATATATATGTGGAATCTTTTTTTAAAGCTCTCTGTAATTGGTTTACAAGTTATGTCTTTGCAATATTTGATAGGCTGCTCTGATTATGGCATCTAAGATGTGTGGAGTGAGCTACAGTGCATTTTTGTGTGTATGGTAACCAAATGAACTGAAGGAACATACTATTTGAAATGCATCTTTTTGTTTACTCAAGGGAACAGGCTTGGCTGGTAGTGGCATTTTACTTTCTGTATTTAGAGCAAATAATCTGTAGGTTTTAGAAGGCTCTGCTTCCACAAATATCACGTGTTTTGGGGGTAGACGTAATCCCCTCCGCAGACAGTCATCACAGATCTCTTTCCATGACATTATGCATGTACAGAAGATTAAGTCATTTAATAAAAGTTTGATTATCTCTCTCAGTCGACTCGCTTCTGTTCATTAAGACTAATTTGATGTGATGATACCATGCCACTGAGTCGCTAATGCAATGTGACGGTGGCGGGGGGCTCAGTTCCTCTGCCTAACACACACACACACACACACTCTTATGATGATTCAACGTGCCAATCACCATCCTGGGACAGAGAGCTCCACAGAAGCGGTATTAGCTTCTGAAATGCAGTCATTCCCTCACCTGGCAGGACTAATGTCAACTAAATCTCCAGATAATGGCCTCTTTCAGCTGCAGGCTCTCTATAACCCATATTAGCATTTTTATGAAAAGTTGTATAGGGTCTGTCATTTGGAGGGCAATTCATATCTGTCTCTAGTCACAATGGGCTTCTGGTTGGCTCCTTACGGCAACATCAAGACATCCTATAGAGTTCAGAGCGTCTGATCACTAAGGATTCTAGTTCCACTGGGTGTGAGTGTGTTTTGAAGAGTGGATCTCTCGTTTTGTTTTGGATGGTTGCAAGAAAAGCCATGTTTGAGACTTTTGTTCATATTGTAATCTTGTTTAGTGTGAAGAAAGCATTAGACTTCACTCAGGTCATGACTTTAGTATGTTGTCTGGTGATTAAGGGGTTTTAACATTCTAAATAACTTTACCACTTTAAATTAATCAAAACTAAATGATGTGTAGCTTTGAAAGGCATATCTTTTATACGATATAATAAACCATTAATGTTTAAATATATGGGGCCATTTCCTATTTACGTCAGCATATTAAGTCTTTACATAAGAAAACTTATATAATGAGAAAAATGTAACTTAATTGTTCTGTGACGTTATGAGGTCATAGGTTTACTTTACAAATAATCAAGTTGTCTGAAATTAAAGTCCCACATTAACCAGAACAAATATATATATTTCTCATGGAGACACATTGCTCCATATAAGGAGGTGCATCAGTATTGGACATAAAGATATCCTTCATTTTTTTGCAAGTTTAGCATGAAGTATACCAATGATTGAACATTTAGAATACCTTCTTTACTGTGATTAAGTTGTGTGTTGGGGTGACCCAAGTACTCCTGATGAGCGTGTGTTGATATCACTTGATGATGTGCTACAACCCTCCTGTCAACCACTTAGTGGCAAAACAAGCCTTATATGGGCGCAGTGGAGACAAACCATCATGCTCCTGACATTCCAGAAAGTAAATAGCCTGTGGACATTGAATCATGGCTTCCTGACACATTTATCCTTTGAGACCCCACTCAACAGTTGGACATAAAACAGCTGACAGTAACTAAATCACTCAACATCTGAAACAATATGGCAATACCAAAATTAAAACATTGCTTTAATATATTTGCTTATTTTGTTGTGTGCCTTTGTTAGTTAAATGTGTCCTCCACCAATCCGCCATTTTCCTTTCTGTACCATCCAAGCCACACTTACTTTGTTTTGCTGTATGGTGCCTTGCAATGATGAGCATGTGTCCAATCTAGTTTGTTTCTGTATGTTCTGCTGTGAACAGAAAGGTCTTCCTCCTCATCAGATCCTGAGAGGCTGATAGCGGGACACAGATGAGAGGCAGGCCCTATCTTGTTCTTGTCGAGACCCGGCCATATTTCATTATCAGTAGCTCTTGTGCTCCTGATTCTCCGGCCAATCTCCTCCATCTCCAGGGTCTGTGGTGCGGGGAAGCACTCATCCACACGGAGGATGGCGGGGGTCAGAAAGAGGACTGGACATATTTGTTCAATTTCCTCTGCACTATTCCTCATGCTCCACTTTGCCACAGCAGCCTATTTTTTATCTGAAAATGCACCTTTTACACCTCATTATCTCCAAACTAAGTGATATCTGAGGTGACACTTTGAAGGCGAAACCAAATTGAAGTGTCCTGGGAGGATGGGGAATGATTGCGTTCAGACCCCTCATCCCAAGTCATAATGTCACACTGTACCTCCAGCACAATCACTTTCAAGTAAATGTGATTCCTTCTTCTCGCCCCCTATGAAAGTGCTTTTTGAAATCCCGCTGCCAGTGCCGTTTTCCTGAAGACAAACAGCGACGGTGCCGGAGCTGAAACTGCAATAACGAGACTTCAGACGCCTCGCATGCACTTCCCTCCACACCTGGACCACATGTGGATCTGCCCTTTGTTGAAATGCCCTGTAAAAGTCAATGGCATACTAACAGAGTTCACAAACTGAGAGGAATCAACTAATGGCTCTCCAAAGGTGTGACATTTACAAAACGGCATAATTTAACTCTTCAGACGACATACTGAATAGGAGGACAAATGGGTTTTCATTCACCAGAAAGGATAATAAAACAGCTTGTTTTTCTATAAATGTAAAATGATAATGCTACATTGCTTTTGCTTTATTATAAGCCAGGATGTAATAGTTTTAAAGGCTTTATTCCATTTTCAGCCCATTTAGAAGACATTTTGACGAGTGACTATTACTTTATCCGGCAGCCATTGCATTATCAGGTGCTCTGAGTCTAAGGCACATCCAAACAGTTTCTATCCGCACCATTTTATCACCACGATTACATAAACATCCCTCTTATGCCTAAATGACTCCTATCTATCCTTACCACCCATTATCCTAAAAAAAGGGATCTATTTGAGACGGTACAAACCCATATTCTGCTCCTGTGGTGCATTGGTTTGGATTTTATATCTATATCCCATCTTCTGTTTTTAAGCTTTAGACCAGGGTTTTCCAAACATTTTTCACTGAGGCCGCATACAGAACAAATATACGAAGGGCTGGGCCCCTAAAGGTGAGGTATATTGCCTCATAAGTTAAGTTATAAGTTAGCTAAATCAATCAAATGAAGTTCAATTAGGCTAGATACTTGAATATGCTATCACAGCTTTCCATAGGGTTTCATTTATTTTTGTTACAAAAAGTGTTGTAGCTTATCCCTTAACTCAGAAGCCTCAGATTGCTTAAAGTAAGGGGAAATAGGAAGGGTATATTTGAGGCTTACTATATAAATAAGTTATTAGGCTTTTTTTATCAACTAAGATTGACTGAATTTATTTGAAAAACTACGCTTAATAACACGTGATTACTGGGTAATATATATTTTAGAAGTACAACATAAGGCAAGCACACGTTTCATGTGAGGGCCATTTCAAAATGAACAACGGGCCGCAGTTAGTCCCCGGGCCGTAATTTGGACACCTCTGCTTTAGACTAACTTTGTCCAGTTGATGTGTGTCCATTGGGCTTAAATAAAGTAGTTCTTATGTGGTGAGGCTTTTATAAAGACGTGGAGTAGAATAAATAAGAATCAATTATCTTCCTGACATTCAGAAATGTATTCTGCTACGGTATAAAAAACTTTGTGAGTATAATTATCCAGAGACACTTTTTGATTTGGACTTCCATATTCATGAGGAAGCTGCAGAATAAACACGGAGCACCTCCAGCTGACAGAGTACACAGGGGGTTGACTTTTCAATGCACTTGAAATGAACAAAAGACAAATATAACCACAGTTCATAGTCACGGTCAGATTAAGTCACTGTGGCCCCCGGGGTCAAAACTGAGTTGTTGGGGGCCCCAATTAGCTTTCAACACAGAAATATGGAGAATGTTATGGTGACACTTTATTTGACCAAAACCTTAAGGGCCATGGATATAGAGAGGCAGTTCCCTGGTTGTTCATCTGGAAAGCTTTTACATTTACTTTCTACATTTATTTTTTCACATATTTCCATATAATGTAGTTTCTTATCAAAGTAGATACACATCCAAATTGATAAAAACACACATTTTTTGCATAAAATGTTGAGCGTAATTACATGCTCTGACCACATTTACCAATGCATGCATTTTGTTCCTGTGAAAGCGGACTTTTCATGTTCAAAATATGTTTATGTCTACTTTAAATGTGCGTATGCAGAAATTACGATTAGGTCAGATGATCAACACAATACACTTTTATTAAATTTATTTTAGGATAAGAAGTATTGATATTGTTATAAATAACTGCTTCAAGAAAGAGATAACATATTTATCATAGGATTCTTTTTTTGGATTTATAAAGAATTAGATTAATGGCCTCACATGAAAAGTGTATTCAGTTCAAGCATATAAACCAACCACAGCCAGACAATAGACCTGTTCAATTTGTTGTGACACACACACACACGCACACGCACGCACGCACGCACGCACGCACACACACACACACACACACACACACACACACACACACACACACACACACACACAGCAACAACACAGGCAGAGGATGACGGACTTGAGTGGCTTGTTTCTCCTTTGGGAATTAAGTCATCTGTTCCCGGAGATCTCTTTCTCAGGGCTCCCCGGGGTTGTCATGGCAACGAGATAAGACTTGTGTGTATCTCAATCAATCCTTTAAAAAATGTGTGTCCAATCACATCCTTTCAAGTGAGTGCGGACCCCCCTCCATTGCACATCCACACACAACTCCTCTTCCTGTAAACACCCACTGACAACACACACTCATACACACACATACAGGATTTATATAAAACCATCACACTGTGCAGAAAATGCCAATGTATTGACTCGGTGACTCAGACTTACTATGAGAGTGATGGCTTTACATGTGCCCCCCCCCACAGCTTCCGAGTGGCTGCTGGGAACATTATTGATGCTCTATCTTTTCACTGCGTTCAACTAAGTGAATTGTACGATGATAAACAACACGTTTTATTGTTGCAGAAACTAAACCAGCCAACAAGTCATCCTGAAGGTGGAGAGATTCCCCTCCCAGCATGCATCACTTCCTCCAGTGGGTGGCAGTGTTCCCAGCTCATTAGTGTGAAACCAGATGAAGTCTGTCATGCTTCTGATGTTGTTTCCTGCTGGAACACCCTCATAATTTAATACATAGGCAGAGGAGAGCATTCATTTATTAAATATATTGTAAAACATTTTTCAATTTTGTATTTAATTATTCATTTATTTGTAGGAAACAAGTACAGAGAAACATTGACAGTTGCAGAAGCATTGCC